AATAGGCCGAATACCACCACCAGGTTTAACAAGCGGAGTGAGAGGGGCACTAGCAATATACTCCCCGAGCACCTCTGGACATTCCCCACCAAGGAAGAGGTTAACCACATGCGTGATAGAGCAGATCAACTCATCCGAAATGGCAGCAGCAGCCCCACTCAAACAATCAATAAAGTATTGAGCACGAAGCCCATCACGCCCACAGGATGTACCACGAGGGAAACTCCGAATGCTATCAAGAACAACACGGGTGGAGGCTGAGGGTGCCTCACAATCTACATCTAAACGAGGCAATGAGGGAGGAGGCGAAAAGGGGTGCTTAGCCTGCAACTCCTCAAGTGTGGCGCCTGTATAAGGGGCAACGCCAGAGGAAGAGAGGACCCTAACCGCTGCGGTATAATGGCCATCACATATCTTTCTCTTACACTGGCGCAGACTACTCTCGACCAAATCCAAGTCATCATCACCTACACCAACCAAAGAGGGAGAAGGCTCGGCCAAAGTTTCCCTAACCAGAAACATCGGTCCCCCAGGTTCGCCCCATGATTTAATAGCAGCGGTAATGCTCTCTTCTTGCCTTTGACGTTTAGTCCCAGACTTGCACTCAAGACAACTTCGGGGGCGAAAGGTCTTGAGGATACAAATTGGCAAAACAAGCAAACTAACCCAGCAAGAGAGATCAATTGGCTTACAAATGACCTTGTCGAGAGCGCCTATCAAAACACGAGAAAACCCCAAGCGGCACTTAGGAGGTATAGATTTCACAGTGCGAAGCCCCTTAGAAAATAAGCTATCAAGTAGGCCCACATCGAAACCACACGAGGGATCTTGCGAAAGGCCCCGAGCCAAAACAAGCTCAGCAGAACAAGGGGGCTCTGGCTTGGGGATATCATAAAGGACAAAACGGACAATACCATCCCCACAATCAGGGGGCGCCACAGAGTCAGATCCCCCACTATGACGGCACTGTTTGCGAAGAGCAGGAATTTTAAAACAAACTCCACAAAGCCAATGACCCATACGCTTAAGAGTGACCTCAGCTGCACTAAAAACATTGAAATTAGAAGTAAGGGTCTCTCTTGTGATGGCCCGCGCATCACCCGTGAAATGCTTCTCACGAAGGTGAACAAGTAGGGAGGCTTTGGTGAGCCCCTTACCACCCTTGTCCGTGCAACCACCAAGACCAACGAAGGGACAATGAAAGCAAAGGACGTTCGACATGGTATACAACTAAGCAAAACAGCAGAAAAGCACACAAGTAACAGAACACTAAAACCAACACAACCAGCAACAGCAGGACAACACCCTTGCTAATCGCTCAAATCCTCCCTCTAAAACAGCAGGACAGCAGTAACACCATTAACAGCAACACAACAAGTAACAGCAGTAACACCAGTAAACAGCAGGACAACAGGATAAAGGCCCTTTAAAGTGAATCTTTAATCAATTAAAATGCCCTGGTCACGATTTCAACTCGACCGACGCTTCCTCTGAAATCGCGTCGCACCCTCGACCCCTCTCCCAAATCGTGACCTGCAGAGACGCCGATGGAGGGCCAGACGGCCGGAGCCGGCAAGAAGGCTGCCCGGCACTCCCGCTCCCTTGCTAATTGCTCAAATCGCCGTCGCCCAAATCGTCCGTCGATGGTTCGCCCAAATCGCAGGGCAACCAAATCGCCCAAATCGCCAGAAGGTCGGAGCCGGCAAATCGCTCCCTTGATTAGTCAAAATCGCCAGAAGGTCGGAGCCGGCAAGGAGGTCGCCCGTCGCCCGTCGCCCGTCGCCCGTCGCCCGTCGCTCCAAATTGCTCCCTTCTTTATTATCGCCCGCCGCCCGTCGCTCCAAATCGCTCCCTTCTTTATTATTATTATTATTATTATTATTATTATTATTATATATGCTGTTTTATTGGTCTTTGCGGTGTATAAAGGTTTGCTCACGCCCAATGACAGAGCTGTACATGGGCTAGGGGGTCCCGTGGGCCCCCCCTGAATATTTTTAAATCCAATATATATATGTACATTTATTAAAATGCTTTAAAAATGTATAGAAATATAAAAAATAACTATAAATTTTGTATAAAAATGTAAAAAAAATTACAATATTCTAATAATTAAAACTTATTTTTATGTAATTCTAATTTAAATTAATATATCATTTATTTACTAAATGATGTACCAACAATCCTTGTATTTAACATTAATTTCTAGATAAGTTTTTTAAAATAATTATAATGATTTATGGCCTCTTAATTGTAAATCAATTAAGTGATTTATAAAACTCTATATTTAGTTAGATTGTTACATTTTTTAAAATGTTGATTTTTACTTTTTTTTTGTGCAATCACATATTTTTAAATTTATTTATTTTTTCTTAAAAAAATTGTTCATTTGATGTCCTCTTCTCAACAAAAATGTTATGCAATTTGCTGCAAAAATTCAATTGAAATCAAATTTCAACTAAAAAACTTATTTTTTCATAAACTAAATAGATGTTGAACTTAAATTATAATTACATGAAATTCCATATTTTTTTTGTTTAGTAATAAGGATTTTATGTTTTTAAAAATTTGATGGTACACTTGTCGATATTTATATTTATAGTAAATATATTTTTACATGAAATGAACATTTTGACTTAAACTACAAACTTGTTATAACATTTAAAATTGGACCCCCCCTGAATGAAATTCCTAGATCCGTCACTGCTCACGCCCCCATTATATTTTTCAGGTAACAGGATCGATGCAGAGGTGTGAGTTGAGCAATGGTGGTGAAGGTCGTGCGTTTATTTTAGTGGATAGTTATTTTATGAACTTATTATGTCTGTAAAATTATTCACAATTTTTAAGATTTTTCGGCTACTCAATTAAGTTTCGAACTTGCATGTTAAGTATTTTCAGATTTCAGTTTTTACCAGGTTCGCCAATATGAACAGGGTACAGTTTTACATGCATGTTTGAATAAAGACTTAAAATCTGTTTTCTTATGTCTAAATCAGTTATTAGACCAAGTTTTAAGAAAACGGATTTTCAGAGTAGATAAGTTTTAGTAGCATCCCGAGATATGATTTCGTAAATTTATAAGTATTTTCAGTAATAAAATTTGCTAAAAATTTACTCTGATAAGCGGGTTGTTACAAATGATATCAGAGCTAAGGTTAAGAGCTCTGTATACTAAAAGTTTAAGTTTCAAAAAAATGTTTATTCTGAATATTTCAGAAAAGTCAGAAAGTTTCAGAAAAACCGACTACACCACGTTCACATCTCGCCGACTACCAGGTAAGTGCTGTTAAAAGTACAAAAGTTTTTAAATATATGCAAATTACTAAGTCTATGCTCAATAGGATTCAAATATCCGAATTTTAGAAAATCAGAATAAGTTTTAATTTAAGTTATGACTTTAAAGGTTGGCTTATTTTGAGTATGTACATAAGACAGTATAATAATGTACATATTTCAGTAACAAAAGTAACGATTTCAGTGTATAAGAGTCATTATTCCGGGTTATCATGGAGGCTTGAAATAAGAGCCACTTATCCGGGTATACCATAGAGGCTTGAAGCTGGACCAGATCAGTATATTTTTAGAGAATAACACCTTTTACAATCAGTAAGTCGGGTATCTAATCAGTTAGATACTCTGAGTTATTAGTTAGTACTTGTGGGACCAGTTGTTACTAGAGTAGCCCTACATAGTATATATAGTCAGAAGTCAACGCTCATGAGTTTAAGGTCGGCGTATAATAGTTACTAGCCGAGAAAAATATGAAGATCTGAAATACAGGTCATTAGTCATTTACCTGGAAACTTGAAGTCGTACCTTACCAGATAAATAGTAAGACTTAAGTATCAAACACCGAGATAACTAGTTAAATGTCTCGAGAAAACTTTTAGATGCCAATTAAGAGCCATTTGGACATGTGAATGTTGAGATGGTATGTCTAATAAGACAAGAATTTATAAGTTGTTTTATGAGTATAGTTAAGGTTGATTCTCGAGTTTTAAAAAAATTCGAGAAGGCGTGGGAAAGATATCTTAGCGATCGATTTTATTGAGGTTAGTTTAGCCTCAAGAAAGACAGAAGGTATAAAATTCAGCGTGTCATCATATGGAGCCTTGAATCCATGTCTGAGTCACAGTACACCGGGAGATCACGGAGAGTTAGCATTTTAGTATGGTGAGATTACGAGCATGATATACAGATATGAACATATATGTGACTACAAACTACATCAACATCGTAGGTGCAATGTTCGCTGGTGCCACATGCAGGTGTGCCGCACTCGATTGTGAGCAGCAGGTGTACCGCATTGCAGAGTGTCGTGAGCAATGTGCCGCGCCATCGGGTAGGTATTCACGACAGATAGTTACCAACATTGCTAGTGGTCCTCATTTGTACATGTGCGCTATTCCAAAGTCTTCCGTGTGTACCACAGTGACTTGGGTCTCACAATCAAATTATATTCAGAAGATCGACAATTAGCCAAAGGAGGGAAATGAGTTTTCTTTTCTGGATCCAAGAGAAGCATGTGAGAAAGAATTAGCTATCAAGAAATTCAATTTCTTAAATCGATAAACCACGCGCTAAGTACAAATTGACCTATTTTAGGAGGTCAGAAGTACTCAGTTGCGATCAAAAGCATCAAGAGCTAGTTAACCGGAACTCTAGTCAAGCTAGGTGTTTTTGACAATTCGATAACAAATCCGTTAAGATTAGTGTAGCTATTTCTTAATGGCTATACTGTGCTAGTCAAATCTGAAAGAAACAGAAAAGATTGGTGAAATTAAAGCATAAACACAAGGTTGAGGATATCATTATTACTAAAATATTAGTACAAAAACAGCAGAAAAAGGAAATACAGATAAAGTAAAAGTGAAACCTCAACTAATACAAGAGTATATTACATGAAGGAAGGGTGCGTTTCAAGAGCACAAGACTCCATAACTCTGCCACCCAGTATGATAATTGGTTCATAAAGATAGATCTAAAGGGTCAAAGGCTCGCTTGGATTTGAATCCTTGAGTTTCCACCGAATCTTGAATTGTAGAGATGCTATCTTGAAGCTTCTTCATAAGTTCAGAAGATGTGTTAGAAGACTTGAATATTTCTCTTTCTGAAGGAGATATAAAAGATTGATACATTCCTTCATCTAGAAATCCAAACAAGATTTGAAAAAAGTTAGTGAAATTCAACAGACCAATAGGTTTGGTATAGAATTTCATTTCTGCCCATGTAGCAAGAGTGAAAACAGTCATTGAGGTTCCATATCCACCAGGAAGAACGAGGAAAGCATCACAACCATAAACCATAGTCATCAGACGCTCATAAATAGAAAGAGTTATCATCAAAATAGCAGAATCTTTGTCAACTTTTGATGAAGTGAGATGGAAAGGGAGGATACTTCTTACCTCTAAATCAAAGCATTTAGCAGCCATTACAAGGTGGTCAAAGAAATAGATACTAGTACCTCCATAAAGAATGTTGATCTTGTGTTTTCCCAACTCTTTCACTAGATCGCTTATAACATAGATAGTATGAGGAAAATTTACAAATCTAGGCGCATACAGTTTAGATTGGCTGGAGAAGTTTGCTACCTAAGAGGACTCAGCAGAAGCCATTTTTTTTAAGAAGATAATTGTTGTGAAGAAAGGCTTGCCTTTTAATGAGGAAAAGTACAGACAAGAAAGTAGTAGAGGATTAAATAAACATTATCTATCAAGAAGAGATAATATATTTAATACCTTATAAGTTATTCAAGACAGTTGTGGCAAACAGGATCTTTAGCAACAATAATTTTTAGACTATAGCGGTTTTGTTCATTTTTAAAATAGACCCATAAAGACATAAGTTCTCGATGCACATAACCACTAGGATGTGTCTCAAGAATTTGTTGGATAGTTTGATCAAGAGATTCCTTACTCAAGCCATTCTTTATGAAAGATATTTTATCCTCTCGATTATTTGACAAAAAACCTACAGAAGTGCAGCGTGTGTCACAGTTCTAGCGAGCACATTTATAGCAGCCGCCTAATCCTTTTGCTCTTCGTTTCTGAGCAAGAGTACTTCTACCCATACCTGACAGATATTTATACGAATTTGGAAATTCGCCAGATAGTCGAACTTTTGCTTCAATCAGCCATCGTATATCACTTTGTATATTATGGAGCATTAGCATTCTTAATCTTTCTACTCGGTATCGATAGATTTTTCTTATGATATTAAGTGGAAGAAAGGAATAAAGTTTGTGAATTTTAGAGAGTGCTTGATTCATTTTGGATTATGGCTGAAATTTGAAGGAGTTAACTAGTCAGTTTATTGGCAAAAGATGCGTATGAGATACGATTAAGCATCTGTGTGGCCGACAAGTATGAATGAAAGTTAAATGTCACGTTATAGCAAGAAAATGACATTATAGCTAGATTTCAGGTTTTATGTTTTGATATGTACACAGTAAGTATGTATCTCAAGTTCAATATTTTCGAGGACGGAAATATTTTAGGGGGTAGATTGTAATATCCCATTGAGTAATTATTTTAGTTTCGAGTTTGAACTAAATTAATAATGCTCGTTCATAGTTTCGAGCCAGTTATTAAGATAAATGTTCAGTCGAGAGAGAAATTTAACAAGTACGGTGTGAACAATGGAGTTTAAAAAAAAATATAAATGAGCTTTATCAATATTATTTTAGTAAGTTTATAGATAGATTTTAAGTCAAAATATGTTCAGTTTAAAGTTATATATAACCAAGTCACTTTTTAGTAATTAATCTCGATCCGTTTATTTTAAAAATGGATGGTAATAATTCTTTATTATTTGTGATTAATTATTTTAGCCTATGAATTATTTGGAGTCGAGCCATAAATCGAAAACGAACAAGTCCGGCCCGTTTGCAGCCGCATCTAGCCAATTCACGAGTCCAATACCTAGCTATTATTTAATAAATTGTTAGCCTTACTTTAGAATTTTCCTAGCTATTTGATTCATCATATCTAGCACAAGTTATTTTTGCTTAAGATATTAAAAAAAAAAAAAATGTGCTTAGCCCAAAGGTGCCGTGTTCAAATAGTTAAGGTCCAAATTATTTCAATCCATATTTAAATATTGATATCTAGCATTATCAAGTCTTGGAGATAGACACGTGTTGCTGACTATTGTCATTATTTTACCACCTAAGTTTAATAATGAGGACGTGTCTTTAGGTAATTGAAAGAGATAAATTATTGTCCCCCTTTATAGCTAAGCATCAGATTAATGAAAGGGGATAGTACTCCATTACCTTCACAAAGTTCCATCCTTTAGATTATTTAAAAAAAAAAAAAAAAAAAAAAAAAAAAAAAAAAAAAAACGAGAGTTAAAGGAATACTACATGGTATTGTGCTCCATACACTCCAAATAAATATATTTTTAGCATCAGATTGTGGTAAGTTACTCCATTCACTACTTCATATATTTCATAAATTCACCTTACTTAGCTTTATGCTTATGATTTAGTCAAGCTCGTATTATTATTATTTTTTTTAAAAAAATACAATAAAAATAGCGAGAGTAAATATTAGTAAAATAAATAAAAATATTAGTAATATTTCATGTTCCGAGTTCGAGTTTTATGACGGGGCTCGATAAGCTAATCTAGCATTTGCAATAAGCGCATTCGGGATAGCACGAGAAGAGAAGGTATAAATTTTGATTATCAATTTGGTATTTTAGAATGTTCTTAGTATTTTTCTAGTTCAATAACTCCTTTTTAAGTACACCAGTTAAATTCTAAATTTAAGTATTTTTTTTTGAGTCAAAACAGTCCAGTTTAAATATATTAGTTTTATGTCCGGATTACTTAGCAGTTAAAAATCGAGCATCCTAGAATTTTATTAAGTATATGAGCATAGTAATTATTATATTGTTTATATTTTTATGTAGCTTGCAGATACAGCTACAAGTACATCACTTACGATTTTCAAAAGTTTCTAATCAGAAAAGGTGGGGGTCATGTACTGGATTCTACATCATATATAATATCTGTACCATGGCGGAGGTATGTTTGAGACAGTTAGTTTCTCCCAGGTGGAGGCCGAGGGCCTTAATATCCCATCTTGGGACCCGGTGGAGGCCAAAGGCCTTAATATCCCATCGGGGTGTGCACACGAGCGGTCGAAGGTCGATGGTCTTTTGACCACAGTAAAGCAAGAAAAGAAAAGAAAAGAAAAGAAAAGCAAAATTCAGTTTCAGCTCTTATATATTTATGTTCATGATATTATTATTATTATTATTATTATTATTATTATTATTATTATTATTATTATTATTATTATTATTATTATTATATATGTTGTTTTATTCAGTACTGGTCTTCGCGGAGCATAGAGGTTTGCTCACGCCCCTATTATATTTTTCAGGTAACAAGATCGATGCAGAGGTGTGAGTTGAGCAGTGGTGGTCAAGGTCGTGCGTTTATTTTAGTGGATATTTATTTTATGAACTTATTATGTCTGTAAAATTATTCACAATTTTTAAGATTTTTCCGCTACGCAATTAAGTTTCGAACTTGCATGTTAAGTATTTTCAGATTTCAGTTTTTACCAGGTTCGCCAGTATGAACAGGGTACAGTTTTACATGCTTGTTTGAATAAAGACTTAAATTCCATTTTTCTTATGTCTAAACCAGTTATTAGACCATGTTTTAAGAAAACAGATTTTCAGAGTAGATAAGTTTTAGTAGCATCCCGAGATATGATTTCGTAAATTTATAAGTATTTTCAGTAATAATATTTGTGAAAAATTTATAAGCGGGGTGTTACATTCTCGTTGCCCAATACATCAATTTTATTGCAAAATACTTGTTAATTAACTTGACAAAGTGTCTTCTTTAAATATAGTCAAACTTCTTGATTGTATGATCATTATAAGGTATTTCGATTAACAGTTCATTAATATCTATGTGAAATAATCAAATGTTCATTAAAACTCTTGATATCTTTTTTAGTCATTGTATAAACTACTACGTTACTCTTTCACTTCGTATAGACAATTTGTACCTACTCCATGGGTGGGAACGCCATCTCTAAATAAAAGTTTACTTTTCAAAATCATGTACTTCTCTAGGGACGCTAAATTATTTTTGGAAAACCATCACACATTACATGAAAGTGCGTACTCTAAAGGAACTACGCATATAATATTGCACAATATTCTTATAAAAAAGTAACAACTTATTCAACCATTAAAAAAAATATATATATTTTGATTAGAATTAAATATTTCATTTTCAATGTTATTTATTTGGAGATAGACGAACTACATATTCTATTATTTGCAAATGAATGAACATTTTGTTTGTTGCAATGATTTTAGACTTGTCTATCATAAAATCTTTTACATTTGTTCGGAGTTTCAATATTTATATGTCTAATAACTTATTTAATGCATTATTATTCAACTTTTTGCATCACACATAATGTTTCAATAATTTAAGATAAGGTTCATTTCTTTAATCTTCAACAATACCAAAACGATAAGACAGTATTGAGAAGCATATCATTTGCCAAAATACTTCAGATGAGAAGAATTACTCTTAGTCATATGTTATTATTATGAAGTCATTATTATAGTTTATTGTTTATATTATGATCATATAGAATGATTACTTATGAGGACCAATTTTTTTACTGACAACATATATTAAATTGCTAGCAACAAAAAAGTAGCAATTTTAAAAGATTTTTGTTTCTTGAGATTGCTATTCATACTTTTATAAGAAAATTCAAACCTTTTCTTTATTTGTATTTTTATTTTATTCACAAATAATATTTTATTTGTTGAAAGAATTAGAGCGCATTTATATGCATTGCGTTGTTTTTACGTGTTTGATAGTAATATTTTTGATAAAAATGTACTTTTATATTGTTCATAAGATAAAAAAGTTTTGGATTTTTTTTTTATTGTTTGATAAAATAGTTACTCATTTTCATATGCAAAACAAATATATTTTACAATCATTATGGTATTCCATTTTATTTGAATAATAGTTTAACATACAACTCATTTATTTTTTTCTTTTAATTTACATAGTTAATGTTGGTAATAGTTGTACGTTTACATTCATTTATAAATGTGCATCTGAATTATGTTTTGCATTTATCATTCGCCAGCTCCAATTGATATATGATATTAATTAATTTTATTATTTATTTTTTTACTTTTGGATGGAACGCGAGCTATAAGTGTTCTCATTGTGTAGTCTTACATTTTATTACGTAGAACACCATTCTTACACCTTGTTTAGTTATTATAATACTAATAAAATAAATAAAAATTTTTCAACTTAGATTTATCTTATTTGTTTTGAAAAAATTATTAATTATCATAAATTAAAGGGTTAATTGCTAAATAAACCTTAATCTTTTTACGTTTGGCAATTATATCCCAATCTTTAGGTAATTGCAATATAATCTCGACCTCAATTTACTTATTGCAAGTCAAACCTAAAATTGGTTGGACCTTCAAAAAATTGGTCGATTTGAAGGCGGTTCGTACAGATCAGAGCTCATATTTACCAGTTCACTCCAGATCTAGGAGTAGGC